AACACTGTTAGATAACAGCATGGGAATCCTTTGCATTTACCAAGATTTATGACCAAATGACCTATCGTTCTTTCTGTAATAATAACAAGAAAGAAGCTTAAACAATAATTTTTAGTATCTGATCCTAGCTTTATTTTATTATCGGTGACAACTAATACCAATTGAGGCAATATGGATAGGTTTATGTCTCTTTTATACAAATGTTTCCCTTTAAAAAAATGAAAACTTAAGTGATTTTACTCAAATACAATACTTTTTTGATGCTACTTTGTACTTGCACCACATTTATTGCACTTTTGATCCCATTACATTTGTTTCACAGCTTAATTTGCTATTGACTTTAAGATCAACTTTATTATTAGAAATGTTTATTATCTTTGTTGTCATAGGTAAGGTTACCCAAAAGTTTAACTCAATTGTTAATAATATCCTCAAGATTAGCATCACCTTGACAACTCTTAATGTTAATAAATCAGTATTAATGTTCCAATAATTTATGAAAAATATATCTCTTTCAATGTGGACACTTTTCAAATGACTGTTACTCTTGAATACATCATGTTGCTACTACTCGTGTGTATATATAAAATGTTCTAACTCACCAAACTGAACAGATAATAATGACATACTTCAATCCGCCCACACTGTTAACTGTGCCAGTTTATTAATCCAAAACGTACTTAAACTAATCACATACCGTCCACGAGTGTTTCATTAAAGTTTACATTAATTTACTTTCGGTAAAGTGGGAAGCCTAGACAACTATAGGCCCATAGCATTAGCCAGCATATTGTCAAAAGTCCTAGAAAGAATTCTGCTGGACAGATTAGATGACTTTATTATTATACGCCTTAAAGGAAATTGTCAACAAATATAGAGGTAATAACTCATCAGTTCTTATGTGTTTCATTGATGCTTCTAAAGCCTTTGATCGTGTTAATCATAGGAAGTTATTTGTTAAACTGAGTCAAAGAGGGGTGCCCAAATACATTGTGAGAATTCTGGTCTACTGGTATGGTCTGGTACATCATTATCAATGCGCAGGTCACTGCATTGGTACAAACTCATCTATACCGCTATGCTTGGACTGCTGCCCCTCTACATATCCACTTACATATCACACAAACAGTACAGCTATAGACTAAGATCTCAACATTACATCACTCTGTCCGTCCCCTCAGTACGCACGGTGCTTGGGAAAAAAGCCATATCATACTCTGCCCCCTCGACCTGGAACACACTTCAGCAGGAACTTAAGCTGACAACTTTGATACCCATCACGGATTTTAAACTCATTTTAAAAAAGCTGGAGAAATCATCTGTGGGTGTTTGTACCTGCTATATCTGACTGCTGTATATGGATTTTAATGACTACTTTTTTACGATGTTGTATTTTAGTGTTGCCTCTGTGTTTAGTGTCCTGTCTGTCTGTAACTTTGTGTGGTAGTGTTACCACTGACAGGTCTCTCTTGAAAATGAGACCTTGTGTCTCAATGAGATCTACACCTGTATAAATAAAGGCTAAATAAAAAAATTAATTAAAAAAATGGCCACCAGACTATGCAAGTCAAATGGGGCAATAGGGTCTCAGCCCCATTTGGGGTTAGCAATGGTGTCAGACAAGGTGGAATTATGTCCCCAGTTCTTTTTAACCTCTATATTGATGATCTGTCCAAGCGACTGAGAGCCTGTAATACTGGATGCATGATTGGTAGTACTCTAGTGAACCATATTATGTATGCAGATGATCTTGTTGTGCTGAGTCCATCTAGCGCTGGTCTTCAGCAGCTTCTTGCTGTTTGTTCTGTGTATGGTGTGGAACATGACATCAAATACAACGCCAGTAAGAGTGCTGTCATGATCTTTAGAATCAAAGAGGATAAATGTCTGAAATTTCCTGATTTTAAATTGTCTGATATTAATCTTAGTGTCTGTAATACATTTAAATATCTTGGACACTTTATTACAGAACAAATGACAGATATTTATAGGCAATGCCGCATGATGTATGCACAAGCAAACATTCTCTTACGTAAGTTTGGTGCATGTACAGATGGAGTGAAGATGTCTCTGTTCAGAGCATATTGCACACCGCTCTATACGGCACATTTGTGGTCAAACTACAGAAAAGCAAGTTTACGGAAACTTCAAGTAGCTTATAAGGATACCATGAGAATATTACTGAAGAGACCTCGATGGTCTGGTGCAAGTGAAATGTTTGTGGCTGCAGGAGTCAATACTCTACAAGCTGTTTTAAGAAATCTTATGTATAAATGTATTTGCCGGCTTAATGACTGTGATAATGAAATCCTCTTGGCCTTATCGAACATAAGGTTTAGTACTACACGCTACCAATCGCAGCTGTGGAGACATTGGTATAGTTGTCTCTTTGTAGGACACTCATTTAAATTATTCTTAAACTATGAATTCTTTTTATGCTGTGTATGTAATTTATTATATGTAATGTCTTGTCTTTTATCTATGTCTTGTCTTTTATCTGGACCCTGAGTCTGTAATAAAGTTTTCATTCATTCATTCATTCATTCATTACTATTTATAACACAGTGCAGATCTGCATGGACAATCAGTGTCATTAAAAGTGCAAGCTACAAACAATGATTGCTCAAAAGCATTTGAAAATACCACTAAAAGAAGAAAAAGTTGGACTTAATTTCCATATGAGTGGACCTCAAATCTGCTGTATATAAATCTGATCATAATTGTCATGATAGGAAGACAGCATAGGGTAGATGGAGCATTATTTTTAGAGTGGTGGTTGCATGTTATCATTGGATAGAGCACTATACTGCCAAATATTTGATTATGTATTCATTTGTGTTATTATAAAGAGTTAAGAACATTTACAGAGGACATGTGTAGAGCAGCACACAATGACTTCTTGTGTGTCCTTGTCTGTTGAAATGTCCCGCAGTCGTGTGGGGTAATCTGTGGTCCCAGGACTGCGACATCTCCACAGAGTGAAGAAAGACCGTATTTCACCTAATCCCTACCGCGTTACTCAACAGCAGCAGCCCATATGAAGCCCACCACAACCCCAGAGAAGAGCTCCAATCTCACTGCTCCTGTCCATTAAAGGTTTTTTATTGCAGTAGATAAGAAAGTAATCAGAATTGTCTCCACAGAAACTGAATATTAACGTACAAGCTGCACAATATTCAGTCCTAATATGGGAAACAAACTCTTTACCTCTGTTTCAGCACTTCCGCTGTACAGCTCTGCGGTCAGATGCCTGGCGTTCTCAGCTTCAGGCTCCAACCACACCTCCAAAAAACTTTCCATAAACAACATAACACAACATAATCAAATAAAAAGAAAGAATCCTGCAATTACAGAGTTTGCAGTAAACATGGGTGCATTATGAGACAATTGGCCACTGATATGGAAAAGGCCCTTTGCTACACATAAGCAAGAGACACTGACTTTGCATTAATTTTGCCTGTTTTTGTAGTTGTCTTGTGTCTCTTTGTAGTCAACGTGAGACTATTTGTAGTCATTTTGAGTTCTAGGTCTTTAAGTGGTAAAACACTTTTCATAGTTGTTTGCGATATTTAATTGTGTCATTGCAGCATTTTTGAGTGTTTTTGTAGTTGTTTTGGTCTCTTTCAAAGTACCTTTGTCTCTTCCCAGTCCTTTTACATGTATTCATGGTCATTTTGAGTCTCTTCCTGGTCAGTATGTGTCTCTTTGAGTGACATGTTCTAGGTGAAGGCCCTATACACTTTGGGCCCCTGGGTCTGTGCCAGTTCAGTAACCCATCCATGAGTGTACAGGGCTTTTCAAGGCATGTTTGTCCCATCGAGGGTAATTTATCTATTTTTATACCTTGGCCCTTTTTATTTTTTGCAAGAATCTTTTAAATTATCAATTTTTAGACTCATGATGACCTACAACATTCAGATTTACAGCAATGTGTGTGTTGTCTGATATAATCAAAGCCTTACACTATTGGCTGCTGCAACATGAGTGAAACAAACTGGCTTAGTGCCATTAAGTGTAGCTTAGCGGTCATTACCAAATGGTTGGCTCACACCAGCGCCAGCGGTCATGTCTTTGTTCATGAAATAGGATGTTATTACTGTAAATTCAAGGACCATCAATAATATCTCAAACTATAGAGAACAAATGTGACATTTCTCACCTATAAGAATGACATTTTGATTATTTCATTTCATGAGAAAGATCAAACCCATATCAGCCTGGACCATGGAGGTGAGGTGTCTGGTGTTGGTCTGTGATTTATGGCTCCACCATGCGGCAGGAGCATAGAAGTAGGCCTTCTGCAGAGATATTTTATAAATGACAGATATCTCACTCAACCCATGCATCTGTGTACTTCTTCTGCTGTCCAAATACAATCCCAATGTTTGATGTTTATTCTTAGACTGGTGCAAAATCTCGAGTTAGTGTCTATAGCTAATATAAGTGTACACAAAATTATTATTGCAAATACTTTTAGTTTCTCTATGCACTTTTGAATTTGATCAAGAGCGGTTCTGTGTTTTTGTCATGCAATTTGTTTTAAACTAAATAAAAAATGCCATACAGACAAGGGTTGCCTCTCTAAACCTCTTTGCTGCCAACACTAGTTTTACAAATTGATTGAATATTCATATGAAATAAGAGGATAGTTAGCTGAATGTACATGGTGGTTTGGTTAGAGTATGTAATACCTACAATAAGTAATTCTGCATGTTATCCTTTTTTACCTAAGTCTGTTATAATATAGCACTCAGACTCTTTTTTGTTTTATACCTTTTTTATCATAAGAATGTAGTTAAATGTTTCCCTGTTTTAATGCATTGCTTTAAATAAACATATACCATCATAGAGACGAAAATGGTCAGGGACTTACATTGACCATTTTGATCTCGATGGTCAATAAATACATGAACAGATGAAGCAGGATTTGTTGCAGAGTGAAACAGCAGCTCATAATAAAGGATCTTCGGCAGCAGGGAGACGAGGCGACGTCGCTCTGCCGGTTTTAGCCGAGTGGGGTCGAAGTGTCCCGCCAGCTGCTGGTCTCTATAAACAGGCTTCTCCCAATGCAGCTCTCCACCCGCTCTTTGTCCGCGACCGGCTGACCGACGAAACGTTCCCCTTTAAGATGATGTCGGAAACAATTATGCCTTATTTAATTATTTTCTGTAATCTCGACAGGCAGAACAAATGGACTAAGCAGCAGCGTTGAAAAGCAGCGACGTTGAGAGAACAGTAGCATCATCTCATGTGAAAGTGGCTAACAGGAGTCCGGTGTCCTTGCGTGTGTCAAAGGCAGCAGCGGTGCTTATTGGAGGCTACGACACTTCTCCGGGACGGACATGTATTTCCATATAACAGACAAGACGGAGGAGACTCGGTGAATGCGGTGAAAGTACTCCCCCTTTACCCCGCAATGTGTTGGACGCTTGGAAGAGACCACTGGCAGTAGCATTTTGGCTCACATTTGACAACACTTCAAAAGGGGTAAGTAACAGTATGCGTGTGTTCTTAAGCCACGCAGTCACTGTATGCGTTTGGAGCAGGTGTTAGTCTTTATCAATGCTGGTTCGAGTCCGCTCCACTCCTTACAATTTTCATTTAATACTCCTCACACTGCCGCTGTCTCTTTATTGTTAGTAGCTACTTCACAGAGGCCAGCCAGCCCCTGGGTGTTAATTCCCCCCACGTCCCTTGTCACCCCCTCGTGTAAAAGTTCTTATGTAACCCATTGGGATTCCTTTTTTTGTTTGTGTGGAAACTAAGACTTCCTGGCCCTGTGCAAGGCAACAACACTGGCTGTTAGAGGAGCTCCATGTGCACCGACAGAGGAAAGCACAGGCTGTTCACATTCCTGCCCTCAACCGGGAACACTGCTGTAATACAGAGAGGCAAGGGCTCCCTCTTCCCTGAAAACACCCATCACTTCAGGGGTTTTCTCTAACCACAAATCTTTTTAACTATACATGTGCATTTCTGTCTCTTTATGTTCCCATAAAGGCTACTGACTGTTATAGCAACACTTGTCAGCACAAATGAACTTTGATTTCTTAACAAGCATACAACCAATATCTAGAGTTTTAGAAGCATAAAACACCACTGGGTCTGAAATAGGGCTACTGCAAACATTACATGTATTTATCCATAATTGTTTTGGCCTACAAATCATCATTTATCATCTGAGCTCTTTTATCTATTCTGAAATTGGGTCACATGTGGTTACATGAGAAGTGTTCAGGTATGATCTCATAACCCTAGTGGTGAATTTACTCTCTGTTGATGGACAGAATTGGATTAAATAAACAACCTCCTCCTGTGTGGTACAGTGTGCTTCTGTTCAGTAGAAAAGTTTGGACAGATATTTGCTCAGTATTTAAAATAGTGTAGTCTCACTGTGAAAGGACCCAGTGTGTCCCCTCTTACTCTGCAAGTGTGGGCCAAAATGCTGTGTTCCTGTGAACTTTCACATCAGTGTCACTCCTCAAGTGACGTGCAACACGTGGTCCAGTAGACACACCCTAGCATTTTAGTAATGCCATTATGTCAAATAAATAATCAGATTTTAAATACTGGAAGTAAGCATGATACCGGGACACTATGGAAGTAGCTAAATGGAATTCAGCCATCATTCATTTACTATTTTCTTGTAGCTTTTTACTATGTTTTGAATGTTTTTATAATCTTGTTAAATATTCTGTTTAAACTATAAAATAATCCTGTGTTCTTCTTCTTTCCACAGTTTTCCACGTCTCTCTACCTGGGAACCAACCGTGGTCACAACATCCTCCCTGTTAAACACCAACAATGACTTCCCCAGACTCTCCCCCTCTTGTCTCCCCATCCCCATGCCCTGCTCCTCCTCCATCCCTCCCCTCCTCCCCTCCTCCTTCCTCCCCAGCCCCGTCTTCCTCCTCCCTCCCCCCCCCGCCCTCCCTGCCTCCCACGGGTGAGGTGATGGTGCTGGCTCTGGGCAGGAAGAAGCAGCGAGTCCTGATAGCTCTCTCCATCCTGCCCAACCTCTTCCTGGCCTTCCTGCTGTCTTCCGACCCCCTCATCACCCTCTCCTCGCCCCACCACTGCCACCTGCCGGGGCCCTTACCGTCTCCCGAGGTGCTGAACGCCTCCCTGCCCTGGGAGAAAGGGGGGAGACCTGGGGAGAGCGGGGGCCTGTCTCACTGTAAGCAGTACCTCAACGGCAGCCAGTCAGCGGTGGTGGACTGCGAGGCCGGATGGGACTACAACGTCACGGAAGGACTGAGGAACAACATCGTCACTGAGGTAAGCTCCTAAACCCTCTCATTACAATCCTAGCATAGTTTATTGTTTTGCCTTTCTGTGGGGGGGGGGGCAACATGTTGTTTATGTATGAACTAAGGTCTTTAAAATGATGAAACGGTAGTTATCCACAGGAGGGTCTTGCTGAGCATGCAGCTTCCTTTTTTGCAATGCCCTGCTAAATATAAGCTGCACATTTTTCGGATTAGTCGGACAAAAAGTCTTATGCTGGTGGTTTGTACAGTAGATCCTTGAGCCTTTAATTGCTTTTGTAAGGTTTCTATGGGGACATGAGTTGTTGTGAAAACTCTTTCCTTAAAAAAAGGCCAATGTCAGAGATTTGGGAGATCCCTGATGCCATTTCCCTAAACAAAGCTGCTGTTTGCTGCAGGAACTGATGTGTGTAGTACCTGCGTGTGAGGTAGTCAGACTGTTTTCAGAAATGAATCCCAGGACAGGATGATGCTGTTGTTCCAAACACATCCCTGCTACACAACAGAATTACACATGATTGGTCAGCTTCTCACTTCGAGACTCGCTGCGTTATCTGCTAATCGGAAAACACCTGAGTATCTGACTAACCTTTTGGCACCTTTCGAGAAAGTTGTGAAACCACGTTGAAGAATGCCCGGTGACTCATTCAGAAATGTTTGTTTTCACCTACGTCACTGTGTCAAACTGAACAGGCCCTGAGAGATAGATTTGACAGATTTCTGAAGTTTTTCTTTAATATATTTTACTAAGTAAGAACAATTCCTTCTCATAACCAGTTAACCATTGAGAGTAAGGAAAGAAAGAAAGTGTATTTAAAGTGGACCTATTATGCTATATTGGAAACATATATTGTAGGGCCATACCTATACAAAACATGTCTGTGAAGTTTTTTGCTTAAAATACCAAACAGGTCACCCATTATTGCCATGCCTCATACTGCTCATACCCCTCTTTTGCAGCCCGGTTAGGCCCAATCCCAAACCACGCCCTACACCCTACCCCTACACATTACCCCTCCGTTTGCGCGTTCGCGCGGAGGGTCCGCCACTTTAAGTGCTGTTTCCAAACCAACGAGTGTGGAGCGGTGTGGAGGGGTAGTGGGCTATCAAGCCCTCAAACAGCGAGTCTGCATCGGTGCTGACTTGAGACCGGTCTCTACCTGACCGGTCTCAACGCTGTGTGTGTCTGTCAGGAAACATGCTGTTTACAAGTAGTTCCAGCAAACATCCACTGATAAATTGCGATGTTAACAACCTCATGATAACCTCATATGTTTTAACTTAGGATCAAACACAATTAAAGATGTTTGGAGTTTTATTTGAGCTATTAATTTACATTTTTTGTCAAAGAGATGCTGATTTTAAACCATTGTTACATACAGTTATGGCATTAACTGTTTCTGCCGGAGAGAGGGAAGGCCGTCCCAAAGCTTGCCACTGTATTTACTCCATTCATCTGACAGGAGGGAGCTTCGTTGAGTGTGTAGGGGTAGGGTGTAGGGCGTGGTTTGGGATTGGGCCTTAGAGAAACGCGGATTTGGGTCCTTAGCTTGAAGAAAAAAAAAGAGGAGGCGGAGATAATGCCTGATCAGAATTCTAGCGGAGATAAAGTTAAATTCTGCTGTGATAAAACACCATCCTATTCTAAACCACATCAAAGATTATTTCTGAAACAGTATGGAGCTCAAATGCTTTTTCTCTTGCGGGTTTATCACAAGGTGAGTTGCTTTTTTTAATTTCCTGCTTTTTAAACACGTGCTCTACAGTACAGGTTAGCTCTGAGTGTTAGCGAGGCTTGCTAATGTAAACAAAGACGAGATTACGTCCAAAACACGTCGGGCATTGTTTCTGACAGCAACTTTCTGTGGGTCCGCCGTCGATTTGACGTCATATCGGCAGCAAATCTGTATCGCTCGTTGTACCCCCGTTTTTAAAAGATTTGGGTACGGAGGAAAAGAGTGAGGGTTTTATTTTCTGATGCTGCGTTTTTCACATATGCATGCATACAAATGTGCATTTTGCATGACAGGTCCCCTTTAAATGAATGAACACCAAGGTTGATCTTAATCTTAAAGGTCATGCTTCGGAATATGATTTGCATCAGTTTTGTACTTTATAAACCAAAACATATACAAATATAAAAAAAGAGTGGTACATAGAAATGTCTCGCTTGTGGCCATACTTTTGTTTCTTTGAAATGTAACTTAGTTCAAGCAACTCTTCTCCACCTTAAACCACCTCCTCAAACCCCAAAGTCCTCTCCACTCCGACTCCACTGAGAAGCAGTGTAGCAACTTCGCCGCCTTCTTCACAAACAAAGTTGACACCATCCGCTCCATCCTCTCTAGCCCCTCTGCACCTCCAGTTCCAACTGCTGACCCACAGCTTGGGACAACCCAGCCTCTTCGCTGTTTCACGGACATCTCTCAGCGAGAGGTTGAGGGCATCGTTAGGAGGATGAAGCCCTCCACCTGTGTCCTGGACCCCCTTCCGTCAGCTCTTGTGAAATTGTACATCTGTACCATGATCCCCATGATCACTAAGATAGTAAACCTCTCTCTCCAGGCTGGCCATGTCCCCTCTGCCCTAAAAACCGCTGTCATCAAACCTCGTCTCAAAAAACCCTCCCTTGACCCGGGAGTCCTGGCCAACTACAGAACCATTTCCAACCTTCCTTTTCTATCAAAGGTGCTGGAAAAACTAGTTTCTGCTCAGCTCCAGGACCACCTAAACTTCAACAACCTATTTGAGAAGTTTCAGTCTGGTTTCCGCTCAGGCCACAGCACAGAAACTGCCCTGGTCAGGGTCACCAACGACCTGCTGATGTCGGCTGATGCTGGCTCTCCCTCTCTCCTCATCCTCCTCGATCTCACTGCAGATTTCGACACCGTCGATCACGGCATCCTCCTCCATCGTCTGCACTCCACCATCGGATTCTCTGACTCTCCCCTTGATTGGTTCAGATCATACCTCACCGGGAGAACAGAGTACGTCTCCTTGGGCGAGGCAGAGTTGGGTACCCACAACGTCACCTGTGGTATCCCTCAAGGATCAGTTCTCGGCCCCACCCTTTTCACACTCTACATTCTCCCCCTTGGCTCTATCATCAGCCGACATGGAGTATCATTCCATTGTTACGCTGATGACACCCAACTGTACCTCAGGATCAACCCTACCTCCTCTGCAGACCTGCCTTCACCCACATTCACTGCCTGCCTGGAGGAGATTCAGGCGTGGATGAAGCAGAACTTCCTGAAACTCAACAGCTCCAAGACCGAAGCCATTATAGTTGGCACCCCACACCAGGTTCGGTCATCCACCATCACCTTCTCCGGCCAGGACATTACCCTCTCCTCAATAGTCACCAACCTGGGTGGGAAAATGGATGCCCATCTGACCTTTGAGGCTCACATTAAACAGCTGTGCAAGAACTCCTTTTACCACCTCAGGAACATCGCCAAACTCCGCCCCACACTCACTCTGTCTGACGCCGAAAAGCTGGTCCACGCCTTTGTCTCCTCCAGGCTGGACTACTGCAATGCACTCCTCATCGGGATCCCTAACAAAAGCATCCAGAAGCTGCAATACATTCAGAACAGCGCTGCTAGGATCCTGATGAGGGTGCGCAAATACGATTACATCACCCCCATCCTTAAAGCACTACACTGGCTCTCCGTGGAACTGAGGATCGAATACAAGGTCTCCGTCCTCACCCACCAGTGTGCCCATGGAACTGCCCCTCCCTACCTCAAGGAACTCCTCATCCCCCATACCTCCTTGCGGACCACCCGCTCCAGCAACTCCAACTTCCTCAAACCCCCCAGGACTAAGCTCCGTACTATGGGAGACCGGGCCTTCTGCTCGGCTGCACCCAGTCTGTGGAATGCTCTCCCCGACCACACGAGAGCACCACAGACCGTGGAGGCTTTTACAAAAGGCCTCAAAACCCATATTTTCAGTAGAGCCTATGCCTAGACCTTTTTACCACCATTTTATTTTATTTTTATTTCTATTGTTTATTTAAATATTTTATTGCTTTTTATTAATTCTACCGTGCTATGTAATGTTTATTTATACTGTTCATGCTCACTGCTTGTAGCACTTTGGGATTTGAAATCAAATATGAAGTGCTTTAAATAAGACAACTATAATAATAATGGGTTTCATTTATAAACAGCAGAACAATGTTGAAGATAAGCTACAGTGGAAGAGTAAATATTTGTTACTATGTAATTATCTTAGCTTTGAATCACATTTTGTCCCCTAAAACACAGGAATTTCTACAGGTTAGAATGATAACCCTGTATCAACAATTGTATATCGTATAATCATTATAGATTTAGGTCTGGCTGTTGATGAAAGCTGGTTCATGCTGTTTAACTTAATAAAAGAAACCAGCTTCTGTGTACATGTATTATAATTATCCTTACATGTAGACAATGTTATAAACACAGCAAGTACATTCTGTGTTGATGCATTAAAGTGTCACTTTGTACACTGCTTGTTTAACTTGCAATGGATGGGAGTAAACATGCATTTACCCCATAGCTTTATTCAATAGCAGAACCCTTGACTTGCTCTTGTTAATGTCAACAGAGCCACTGGGGCAGGTCACCGAGTGGAAACTGTGTCTGTTTATATTTCTGGTGCCTTCTGATGTGGGAACCACACCCAGGCCTATAGTCCGTGGTATTAGGGCAGTTTGCTGGTAATCCACCCACAGCACTGCAGCAAGCTGAGGAGACGTACACACTGCCAAGGGAGGCATTGAGCAGGATAAAGTGTGCACATGCATTCTTATAGACACATGGAAAATTACAAGCTTACAGTCTCGTCCTCCCCTTGTATTACATACTGAGCGGGACATGGACACTGTTCTATTTTGTCTCTTAAATCAGGGTTAGTTCCTAAATTATTTCCGCTGTCATGATGATCTGTTCCGCCGTGCTGAGCTGGCAGTCTCTGAGCAGGAAGCAGGAGGCGCTCTGATCAGCTGCTCCTCCACCACAATCAATACATACTGTGTCACTGAACGAGAGGCATCTCCACTTAACATTCCCGTGCTGGATCCACGGCTAATGCACAGACACTTCCTCAACGTCATCGTTACGGTTCGGAAGAATGATGATAATGTTCCCTGAGGTTATTAATATGTCAACCCTCAATAGCTACATCTTTGATATTTCTTGGTGTTAACTTATATGCCCATTTGGAATCACTTAGCAAATCAATAAGCGGGACTGCATTAATGGCAGCGTTTTAATGGAAAACTCATATCAGGTTTAACACAACTCCTTCTCAATTGATTTTTTTCCAATACATTTACTATATTATATTCAGAATTTTTAATTGGAATCCCAGAAGGTGCATTATTTACTTAAAGCTATAATATTTAGCAAAAAACTATTCTGATTTAAGTATTGTTTTTTGCCGAAATTTCCAAACCTAAAAATGTTATTACGCAGTTTAAAGAAAGACATCTGTTTATATAATATTTAAAAAAAAATCTACTTTTAGAATAATAGTTCAAACATTCCCTTTTTTATATAATCACAATCAGATGGGTTTTGCAAAGTGTTAAGTCCTAAAAGCACAGCAAAATGATATAATCATAAGATTTGTCTTGGTATAAAGCTAAACAGTTATACTAAACGGGCTTTAACGTTTTGATACAAATCTGTTCTTGTCCAGAGTCTGACTAATGATAAATTGAGTGGAAAAGTACAACCAAACGTGAGTTGGCAAAGTCTCAGTTGAGCTTATCTCCCAGCCAAGGCGAGGCCCAGTGAGAAATGTTAAAGGGTGACTTGGTTGCAGGTTTCCTCCCAGAGCATCGAAGCCTGAGCGTCATCTGTAGAACCGGACTGAGGAGCTCACCAACCTGTTTGTTTGCATTTCACCTCCTCCTGTTGTCCTCAGCAGTCCTCCCTGTGAGCACAAAGCTTTGTTTTGCTGCCCTTTACCCGCCCGGTGTGCACTGTAGTGGCTCCGAGCCTCAGCAGTACGACCGCTGATATTATGTGACAGGCTTTTATGTTTCTGTGCACGGGCTCCGATTATGTAAGGCCTTTTTACGACCAGCCCTCTGCTCCCCTCTCTACATCATTAAAATGATTTGCTCTCAGTGGATGCAGACATTAGCAGAGCTCAGCTGTTAATGCAAATCAGTGAGTCGGCTTAATGTGATTACAGCTTTTTTCTTTACACATTTTCTGACTTCTAATGTAGAAGCAGTACAGTCACACAGTTAATGCATGTGACACTACTATTACTACTGCCAGTACTACTATTAATTATACAAGTAATACCATTTTCTGAATACAAAGTCATATTTTAGTTAAGTATTCCTTTGTTATCATTTTACTTTTACTGCATTATTCTCTCAGCCTTTTGCAATTTAAGTGTACTCATAAATATTTAACAAAACAAAGCTGAATAAGTGTTATTTGTAATTCTCTTGTTCTATCTCTGTGAAGTTATTGAATAATAATAATAACTTATTATGTTGATTAAATTAAAGCCTTGTGCTGCGTTGCCTTTTGAATCTAAGTAATTCATTAAGTTGATTTGATTTTCCAAAGGCATATTTCTTCACGAGTAACGAGTCAAGTTAACAATAAATGTGAATGCTCAGTGGTGTTATACATTTTGTCTTAAGGCTATAAAAGATGCAGATAAGAAGGTGACGCATTACAAACTCTCTTTGTGAGCAAAGAGCTTCTACTTGTCTTTGTGTTTTCTTCAGAACTCATACACCACAGTCGTGTTTTGAGGTGGAAAGTTGTGATCTTTATATTTTTGATCTTCAAAACACTTTTGTTTTACAGTTTTAATACTTTATCAAAAGTGTGTGGATAATTCAATGAGTTACGGTCATTCAGTTATACTTTCTCAATCAATGATTTGCTTTTGTTCCGTTTTCTGTCATTGTAACAGACAAACATTGGTTTTGTCTTTTACTCTTTACACTCAATACATTCCTGATAAATACAAATCAGTAATGTTAGTATAATTCCCATGTTTTGTAAGGAAAATAATATGCGCGGTGATGTTTTCCTCATGACTTGAAGTTCTCTAACATGTATGCTGTTGTGCTAACCTGAGCAGATCATCTAACAGATCTGTCTCCTGTGTGTGTGTGTGTGTGCTGTCCAGTGGGATCTGGTGTGTGGTCAGTACTGGCTGGTCCCAGTGGAGGAGGTGTGCTTCATCCTGGGCATCCTGACAGGCTGTCTGGGCCTGGGCTATGCCGCTGACAGGTAACGAACGCACGCACACACACACACACACACACACAAATATAGCTCGTTCTGCAGACATCTGCGCTTTTAAATCACTTTGTTCCTTAATCTATAGTCTCTTGTCTTTATGTTGCAGTTTCACTAACACACACACACACACACACACACACACACACACCAAAGTCCAGTCTGCAGATGGTATCCTGCAGATGAAAGCAAGATAGCTTTCGTACCAAGAAGCCCAGATGTCATTTTCTAAAGCCGCTTCCATCTATTATATAAGACATACATTTGTGCAAGATGAACTAAAGAATGTATCTCAATCACGATTTACTACACATAGGCATGAGTTAGGGCCTTTATGAAAGTGAAATGCTTTATAATGCTATCTTTTCAGGCATAGTGCACGGCTGTCTGCATTAGGCACAGCCTCTGATAATTGTCATAATGGCTCCAGCCTGTGCCTGTTGTGTTGTCAGATTGAAAATCACAGAGGGCAAGCAGTAGTTTTTAGGGGGAATTGTGAGGGAGATGATGCCAGTTTAATCAGCTAACAGCCTTCATCTATTTGCTGACCAATTGAGCCTAGTGTCTGTTTGTTAAGACTGGTGAATTAATGCTGCCTCCTGGTACAAAGGAGAACAGGGGGCAGTGCTAATCTGCAGGCTGGATACAAAATGCTGCACCTGCATGGCAAAATGGCTAATCATCACATTTACTTATCAGCAAGTGAGCTGAGGTGAAAAATGCCTTTTTTTATTTTCTTGTGATCGCAACATCTCTTTTGCTAAGTTTTAGGTAATATCACATTTAAGGTTGTCTGCAAGTTTTCATCTTAGGCTTTAAATCCGGCCTTAAAATTGTATTAAGTAAAAAATGATAGGCTGTCCATCATATATACATTCAGGAATGTGGTAGAAAGGCTAATGGTTCAGTTCTAACTGTGTTTCTTATCTATTATATTCACAGTAGACTGTTGTCCTATTTTCTGTTCTCCACGCTCTTGCTGTTAATATTTATTTTATGTGAAGTGTTTTTGCTCTTGCATAATCAGGACTTACAAGATAATTTTTTGCTGTTGCAAGTCTCGGTTTAAATGTTTTTACCTTGATTTAGATTTAACTGTCTTTGTTAATCCTTTTAGTTTTATGACAATTACTTAATAGTTTTTTGAAAATATATATCAACAATATGCCAATTTCATTAATGAATAAGTTGTTGATGTTTTTGTTAAATGTGTGTCCTTTCCCTGCAGGCTAGGCCGGTCTAAGACTCTGCTGGCCTCTCTGACCCTGTCGGTGGTGTTCGGGGTGCTGGTGTGTGTCGCTCCGAGCCCCCCCATCTTCATCGTCATGCGTTTCTGTTTGGCGGCAGCTAGTGCTGGAGTCTACCTCATTCTGTACATCACACGTGAGTATTTCAACATTTAAAGCACAGTTTGTTTTAGTGTAAATGTACAAACAAGCAAGATTAAAAGTATGTCATTAGTTGAGAAAAACGCTATATAGCTTTCCACCTACAGCTATGTTGTTTACCATGTTAATTATGATGAACCTAAATGAGTCAGTAATGATGTTGTGTGTGCCCTTCAGGTCTGGAGCTGTGTGAGCCGTCTCTCAGGCTGCTGGTCACCATGCTGGCCGGGCTGATGACTGTTGCTGGAGAGCTGCTGCTGCTGGCCGTGGCTCTGGGCTGCCAGTCCTGGAGGGGCCTGCTGGGGGCCGGCGCCGCCCCCCTCACACTCTTCCTCAGTTACGGGTACTGCTTATCTGTTTAAAAAAATATCCATGTAGGATTATTTGTTTGTAAGCTTCCTGTGAAATGTTCAGTTTTAGCTCTTTTATTCCATCCAGTACGTAATCAGTACTTGCCTTTCATATTTAGATGTTCCTCTTTTCTGTGTACTTCTATATGGACACATGTTTTATTTCCCTGTGAAACTGGGGGGACAGGAGAGTGAAGGAACCTGATAGTCTTTTGATAAAGTGTCCTGATGCCAGCTGTCTGGCCGAACGCTCTGTAGGACCGTATTGATTCCAATGCCCTCGTCACACTGAAGCTTTCAGTTCATGTCAGAATGCATTAGGGCCACTTTGTTTATGTTCCCCGGTCCCTAGGACTTCTGTAACAAGATTAGCCTCCATTGCCGTTTCAAAGCAAAATTAATAAAGATTAAAGTATGATTACTAGCAGTGGATTACAGATTTAGAAATAAAGCTGGAGGAATTCTGCTAATGTGCGACCTACATTTGTTTTTCATGAAGCAAGACGCACATTTGGTTATAAGTGCTGGTGAAAGCTCAGCAAAGATCAAAGACTGAGCCGAACATATGTTTTGTCTCTTCTGCAGCATTCCTGGGGTGTTCCCTGAGTCTCCTCGCTGGCTCCTTCTGTCAGAGAGATCTGCAGACATGAACTCCTTCACTGAGAGGAGAAACTCCAACAGGGACCTGAGGGATGACGAGAGCTTCACAGGTGTGTTTGTGTGTGCAGAGAGTTTAGATTCTTACTGTCCTCCACAAAAAGAGAGCAGCTCACATTTTCCTGCATCAATGCTGGGTTTAGTTTATGAAGTCTGCATTATTTATTATTTATGGGTTACTTGATGCAGTGCATTTCAAAACATGATGACCTATCACACACAGCACTACCCCGAGCAGGTAATGATGCTCAATTATAATTCATGATTTATTAAAGAGCCATGCAATTAGAATAAGGCATGATGCCGTGCATAGATAATGATATGGTGGATATCCACTGTGCCACTATAAGATACATTTGGTGACGTTGATTTGACCTTCATTTGTTGCGGCTCCCCATAGATCACACTGCTATATAAGTAGAAATAATGACAATTGATGTAAAAGTACCTATAAAGTAATATATTTAAATATTTTCTACTTGTTGTATTATTTCAAAACTATACAATAATTTATAAAAACTATAACCTATAATCAACAATGCTGTGCTCAATGTAACACTTTCATCACCGCACATTAATCTAAATATGTATTACTCTGCATATTGTAAAAATCAGTCAATACATCCATGCATTTCCAAAGGAAATTTATTGCTGAAACTCCGAACAAAGTATATTCTTGGAATCTCGTATAAATATTTTTTTATTGCAGAAATATTACGATATTGGTTAACATCAAGTGTTACCATAGCATACATGTTCATTCTCTGGCTATTGAACAAACTCTATTTGACAAATAGACATTGGAACATTGATTTGTCCTCTTGTACATGTTTCTTAGACATAAATAAACACTGACAGTGAGCTATTGATTAAAAGAGAATCCAGGTCAGGTCATCATTCTCTGTCTGTTGTTGTAAATTACTCCTGTTTTAATGCTGCAGAGCTGGACTCAGAGCCGGCCCCCTCCTCACGCCCCCACCTGTCCTACCCCGAGCTCTTCCACAGCAGGAACATCTGGAAGAACATGTGTGTGCTGGGCTTCACCTCGTAAGTCATCCCACACTCGTGACAGTAATTTAGCACCTCTGCAGTTTCCACTTTAGTTTGCGCTGCACTTTTATTAACAGGAACTGGTTGCTGCTGCAGTCTCATGTTTCATCCTCATAGTGTCTTGACTGATTATTACCACTTTTCTATAAATAACTTCTAATGAACAATGACTGCTTACTCTTTGTTTCTCCTTCCTTCCTCCTTCAGTTTCATCTCTCACGGCATCAGTCACTGCTACAGCTCTTTCCGTGGAGACGTCAGAGGCACGGCCCCCAGCTTCTACTGGACGTACCTGCTGTCGGTGTGCGCGGGGGGGGGGGCCTGGCTGCTGCTCTGGGCCACGGTAGACCGGTTCGGTCGCCGTGGCATCCTGCTCCTCGCCATGACAATGACGGGGCTGGCCTCTTTGATCCTCCTGGGACTCATGGAGTGTAAGCAGGCTTTAGTTGCAGGATATTGTTTTTGCCAAGTAAACCTGGAGAGGGATGAAGAAATCTATTGATAGTCTTTACGACACCATGATACTTAACTGTCATTTTTCTTGCATCCCAGCAGCTCAAGGACAAATATTTAAGAAAGCAACAAGGGAACATATTTTTTCCACGATGGCTCGTATTTAATTTCAGGATTGACTGGTGCACAAAAGAGTGTCCAGTCTATCCTGGGTCTCACTTATGTGATGCTAACCATTCATATTAGCTGTTCAGGAAAGGGTGACAAATTGACTCACAAGTCACCTCTGTTGTTGTAGAGACATTATGTGAGGCTTGTTTGAGGATTACATGTTTTATTTCCTCTAACTGGAATGAAGGTCAAAGTTAGCTTAATAGATGATTAACCACCATAGTTATGTGTTAAGTTAATCATGCAATATGAAACGGATCCAAAGCAAACCGGTCAGATCTGTTCATGGAAAATTATGTTCCAGGTGCCTTTGTCTTTCCCCAGCATGATGTCCAAACACTCTCACACAGTTGCCTGAGTCTCAGTCTCCTCCTTGTGGCTGAACATGAGTATGACACCCAGTTTATGTAGGACACTGCAGTGGCAGCAATGTCAAAGCTGTGTCAGGTGCTGAGCTTTAATCATGCATCAAACGTTGGGGGGGGGCGAAGCACTGGGTGGTGGTGTGTTTCAGGTCACCTCTTTTCACTGCTTTCTGTGTCTACTGTTAATTACAGTAGTCTGGAAGCTGTAGAGAAATGACTCAGAGTACTACATCACTTCAAATCAACAGGGCAGCATGATATATCTTCAGAAAGGCTGCAGTTCATTATGGTAGTCCACAGTAACTGATGCTTGTCCCTCCTCCTCCTCCCTTTAGATCTCAGTGAGACGGCCATCACAGTCTTCTCAGTGCTGGGTCTCTTCTCCTCCCAGGCCACCGCCTCCCTCTGCATCCTCTTCACTGCAGAGATCATGCCCACCGTCATCAGGTAACACATCAACACTGATTTTAAAAGCTACAACTCTCCTCGTTATTATGTTTTGTACAAATATATTGAGATGTGAAAAATGAGCCTGCTCAGCTACTGAAATGAAGGACATGAAAAATGCAGTACATTTCCATCAACGTATCTATAAGTAATGAAGAGACGCTTTTAGATATCTGAGAAATGTCTTAATTGACAGGGGTCACTGAACATTTCTGACAGCTTAGCTCATTATATTTTGGAGCTGAAGGAAACGCCTGATGGGGGGGGGGTTTATGGTAGTTTACTCTGTAAAACCTGATATTTCTTAAACACATCTTATTAAGCCATATTTGAATAGTTCAATATGCATATTTGAATATTTATATCCTTCTTATGTCTGTCTGCCAAATATGAGGTTACAGCTAGGATGTGGTTAGCTTAGCCTAGCATAAACAGAGGAAACGGCTAGCCTAGCGTTGTCCAAAGGTAAAGACATGCTTAAACTCAAGTTTTGAATGGTCTCAAGAAACAAACAAGAATAATCAGCTTCATATTTATAGAACAACATCTAACTGTTAGTAATCGTAAACAAGTGCATTTCCAAAAATATGGAACTATTCTTTTAAAATGATACACAATCAATAGGTAAACGATATAAAGATTAAACTTTGTAAAAAAAAAAGTTTAGGCTCTAGAAGAAAACAATCCACTTGAATTCTTCTTTTTGTACACCGAACAGCAGCAATACAGAAATGAAAGGAGAATTTTGTCCTCGATAAGTGGAGAGTGAACAATAAAAATATAATCAGTACAGATGGTAACCCTGAAGTTGTCTCTGTGTGTGTGTGTGTGCAGGGGCAGTGGTGTGGGCATAGTGCTGGCTCTGGGCTGCGTGGGCCGCCTCAGCTCCCCGCTCATGGACCTGAGGAACCACTACGGGTACTTCCTTCACCACGTGGTCTACTCCTCCCTGGCCCTGCTGGCCGTGCTGTCCATCCTGCTGCTGCCCGAGAGCAAGAGGAAGCCTCTGCCGCAGACGCTGGGCGACGGGGAGCAGTACCGGCGCCCCCCGCTAGGCAGGAGGAGGAGGGACAACGTGCCGCTGCTATCCACGCCCAACCCAGAGACCTAACACACTCCTGAAAAAGAGTCGGATGGATTCAAATCACCCACTCTGCAGCTAGAACATTCACATCCATCATGCAGAGGAGGAGAGCTGCACAGATGATTGGACAATGAGGGACGGTGATCAGACTCTAAGCTTCCTAACATATCATCCTCAAGTCATTCCAGGCGGTTGGGTCGAGCTGCCATTTCTTCTTCACCATTCTCCTCTTCCTGCCATTCACATGTGTAGATCTAACAGCGACACATGCAGGGAGTCTCCATCCTCATCTCCATGTGCACACCAGCATACACTGCTGCATCTGTGCGTCTGTCGTAGAGATGTTAGCTGCTTGATACGGCACACCAGACCAGAGGGGGCCCGGAGAGTAGTCGGCAAATTATTCCTAGCATTTGACGTAGAGCGTTTTTTGTGGTGTTTGATGTGTACGACAACAGGAGAAGTGCTCGGAGGTGTGCAAAATCAAAGCAGAGTCAGCTTTGTGTACTTTCCTGTGACACCTGTGGTAAAATGCTCCCATGTGGAAAAACTCTCCCATGTGGCACTCCCAACAGGGGTGGACCGCTATTCTCCAACATATGTTGTTTGAGTGTTGGTGCCTTGTAAATACTCTAGACCTAGTTTCTTTAACTTGTAGGGCATCTGAGTTACATTAAAGCAGATCCTGTAGCTGGAAACTGTACAGTACGCTGTACAGTGAAGAAGCGGTGCAGAGCACTTTGAATTTTTATTTTAAAGATGGTGGTTAACTTGAGCAAAATCTTCAAATTTAAGGGACAGTTGTACAAACCAATCAGTTTTGGAATGAGGGTGGTGGTGGTGAAGTCCATAGGGACTTGGCTTGGCAACTGGAAGGTCACCAGTTCAAGTCCTGGAAAGACCAAGTGCTACCGAGGTGTCCCTGAGCAAGGCACCGTTCCCTACGCTGCTCCCCGGGCGCCGTACATAATGGCAACCCACTGCTCCTAACACTAGGATGGGTCAAATGCAGAGAAACATAATGACAATAAGTTGAATCTTCAATCTTTTTCAATAAATCTATTACGTTACCATTGACTGTTAGCAGGCTCAATGTCGAGTCAAGGCAACATAATAAAGGAGACGGTAGCCGAAGTAATCAAAAAAAGAATTTAATTATAATTACCACCATGGTTGAACAAAGGAAATATAAAGTAATGACAGACAAGAACACATACTGCACAGACAGGATCAGCCCCAGACAAAGGGGAAGGCAGAATACTTATACATGAGGTAATGACGAGACAAGACATACCTGGGTTAATTACAAATGGGTACACCTGGAGGGGAAACGATAAGGACTACAAAACCATCACAGGAAACTACAGCTAGACATGACGCATCACACTAGGAGCGCCTGATCAGGGCACAAACGCATAACACCCCCACACCCAACTTTATGTCCATAACCCCAAGGCGAAATGAGGGAATAAACATAAACAGAAGAAGGAAACAAGAAACAATAATACTGTCAGCACAATAAAAAATACGAATTGTACTAACAGCACCGGTATGGACGGCCATAACCCCCACACCACCCCATGGATAAATAGCACCCACCCCCCGACTACAGCCGTGATAGCGCGTCAGCCAACACATTGTCCTTGCCCTTGACGTGAACCACGTCAACATCAAAGGCCTGCAGGAAAAGGCTCCAGCGCATTAGCCGCTGGTTCGAATTCCGCATCCTGCCTATAAAGACCAACGGGTTGTGGTCGGTGTATATTTTAATCGGTACCTGGGATGAACCGACATACACTCTCGAAATGGGAGAGAGCCAAAATCAAGGCCAATGCCTCCTTTTCAATTGTCGAATAGCGCCGCTGGTGTATATTAAACTTTTTAGAAAAATACGACACCGGATGTTCTATACCCCCGTCATCGTCCTGCAGAAGCACCGCGCCTGCGCCCAGCTCACTAGCATCCACAGCCAACTTGAAAGGCTTTGTGAACACAGGCGCTGCGAGGACAGGAGCACTGACCAAGATGGACTTTAATTGCTGAAACGCAAAAGTGCACCTAGGCGTCCACTGAAATGGACTGAAATGGGATCTTCGGGCTCAAGAGATCCGTGAGGGGAGAAGCTACCGCTGAGAAATTCCTGCAAAAACCCCTATAATACCCCGTCATCCCCAGAAAACACCGGAGGTCCCGATGTGTAGCAGGCTCTGGAAAGCCAAGTATCGCCTCCACCTTGGAGTGGACAGGGCGGACCTCCCCCCGCCCCACTACCTTGCCAAGATAGGTGACGGTCGTCCTGCCAAACTCGCACTTGGCCAGGTTTAGGGTCAAGTTTGCCTGACCAAGCCGGTCAAAAACTTCCCGCAAACTAACCATGTGCCCCTCCCAATCGTCAGAATAGATGACGAGGTCATCGAGGTAGGCCTCACAATTAGGTACGCCTGACAGCACACGATTCACCATCCTCTATATTACCGTATATTGCAGGAAACTGTCAGGTGTCACGAACGCAGAAATTAGTTTAGCGCGATCCGTAAGTGGCACCTGCCAGTATCCTTTCAGCAAATCCAGCTTGGTTACATAAGACGCACTCCCCTCCCTGTCGACACAGTCCTCCATTCTGGGCAATGGAAAACTATCAGGCCTAGTTACGTTATTTACCTGGCGAAAATCCGTACAAAACCTATCTGTCTTGTCTGACTTATCAACCAATAAGCACGGCGAGCTCCATGGGCTGAAACTGGGCTCAGCGATATTGTTAGTGAGCATGTATTCCACCGTTTTCTGTAACCGCGCCCGCTTATATGGATTCACGCGATACGCGTGCTGTTTAATGGGTAATGCCTCCGCCACATCGATGTCATGTTGTAATACATTAGTGCGCGAAGGAATATCGGAGAACAGCTCACAATGAGACCCAACCAAACCCCTGATATCATCTCGCTGCGTTGTTGATAAATGGCCAAGATGACAGTCAAGAGTGATCAATGACTCAGTGTTTGTCAACCGTCCCTCCACGACCGCCTTGGATGGAATAATGACGTCATCTTCCAGTTCTCCAACCCCCTCTGAAAAACAAAGACTGTCATTACTCTCATCAATGCTAGATGGGGCCAACATACAAACTGACACCGGCACAGTGGACACACTCGCAGAGGGAACAACAATACTGTCAATAGGATTCACCAGAGGCTCCCTCACATAATATGGCTTAATCATATTAACATGACACAAGCGAGTCTTCCGCCCACGATCCGGTGTCTCGATCAGGTAGTCCAAATCCCCTACTTTCTCTCTAACCAGGTACGGCCCACTAAACCGTGCTTGTAAGCTGGAGCCTGGGACAGGCAACAACACTAAAACCCTCTCCCCTGGCACAAACATTCTATCCCGAGCCTTCCTGTCATACCAGCCCTTCATCCTCCCCTGTGTGTCACTCAGATTTGTCCTCGCTAGTTCACATGCCCTCTTCAGCTTCTCCCTAAAGCCACAGACATAGTCTAACAGGTTCTTCGGCTCGCTCTCCCCCAACCACTTCTCCCTCAGCAGCTTAAGCGGCCCCCTAACCGAATGCGCAAATACCAGCTCTGCAGGACTCAGCTGCTCGAATTTAAACTCTAGTTCCATCTTCCTCAGCAAAACCTGGTTCTCCGAAACCGGGTCACATGTGACTACCTCCTCCTCCTCAGGTTTGCCCACAGAGCACTCCATAACCTCCTTGGCGGTCAAAGCCTCCACCAGCGCTAACCGCTGCTGCTGCTTTTTCATGCTCGGGGCAAGCCTGACACCGTAATAATCTGCTATCCCCGATAATTCCTCCCTAGTGCACAAGCCCAACAAGTTGACCGTTGGCCTAGCCACAAAATCACATACCTTCACAGGCATACCTGCCCTAGTACCCGTCGCACCGGGGGAGGAAGAAACTAAAGAACCAACCCCGCTTCCACCAGCATATACGACCAACCAATTAACATATACACAAAAAAAAAAAAAAAAAACGGCTTCACCCTACACGTCTGTACAGTCTGTTCTTAATAACTCTGGCCACCGCTCCCCTACCGCTATACACTAAATAGAGAAGAGCACCGGTATGACCTTCTGAAGCATCCACACTCAAAATTATTCGCAAGAGATTAACAACTGTCGTGTGTTTTATAAAAAAAAAAAACCTAAAGCCCATCCCTTAAACGTTTCCATCCCTCACTATCAGACCCCCTATATAACTAACTAGCTGACATACGCCGGCCTAGGAGGAGCCTGACAGGGTCTTCCTACTACCCCGACCAGCATAGAAAATGGTCCAGCTGCCCTAGCTGGATGAAAACGCTCCTTATTGGAGAATTATTTACCAAGAGGGTATAAAACATGGGCCACACACACGACACTGTCAACCATAATTCAAAGTGTGGACTAAGCTCAGCGGCCACCACCAAATTCCTGCTCAAATCAGTTTGGCACAAGCCCCCATATTACGTTACCATTGACTGTTAGCAGGCTCAATGTCGAGTCAAGGCAACATAATAAAGGAGACGGTAGCCGAAGTAATCAAAAAAAGAATTTAATTAATAATTACCACCATGGTTGAACAAAGGAAATATAAAGTAATGACAGACAAGAACACATACTGCACAGACAGGATCAGCCCCAGACAAAGGGGAAAGCAGAATACTTATACATGAGGTAATGACGAGACAAGACACACATGGGTTAATTACAAATGGGTACACCTGGAGGGGAAACGATAAGGACTACAAAACCATCACAGGAAACTACAGCTAGACATGACACATCACACTAGGAGTGCCTGATCAGGGCACAAACACATAACAAAAAAGGCCTTAAAACAGAAAAGAGTTCAAACTGTGTAAACCAATTCTTTGGTCTGGCCTGGAGCCAGCAATATGTATGTCTTATTTATGTTGTTATTAATCTTAATCAGTAAATTATCCAGAGTCCTAGCATTTTTAAGTATTAAGCTAAAGATTTTTAAATTGGGTTGGCTGCAAACTGTCACAACATTCCTCTCTGCATGTCCGGGAGCACTGCAGGGCGTTTTTCTGTATTTCCTCAGAAGCTAACAGTTATTTAATAACTCTCTAGATGACCAGCTGTAAAAGAATAGACGGGTATGAACAGTAGAAGTTTAAATATGACTTCTATAACCAGGCACATATATTGTATGTCAGCACTAAAATGTGTACGTTTTGAAAGAGGTCATCGGTTATCTTGCCTGAATGTTTATCGATGCTGGAGAAAGGGCCCGGTGATTATGCTCAATGGGAGCTGAAGAGGGCCCTAGAGCTCCAAATGAACCCCCGACTCCTCAACCACGCACCGAGGAAATACTTTCCCTTATGGCTTTTTTATTTTTGAGTGTGCTGGCTGATGTTCCACATGGTTACATCATGACGGAGAATTACCAAAGCATGGCCATTTTAGTGCTTCACAAAAATATCCCAATGTATGCTTGTGTTCTTGGGTAATTATTTTTCTGGGTGTGTGATTTTTAAGAGGAAGCGGGAGTCATTTGGACTCTGACGTAAAGGATTTACTAAAATAATTATGAAGGACACTTTAGCTGATGGCTTCTTCCTCCGTCAGCCTTATGTAAATGTTCTTCCCCTCTTTGTATGTTGCACTCAAAGTCCTAACATGTATACACTGATAATTATTATCACTATGTTTTACTTGACTCGAGTAGTATTATGTCTGACACCACTGATGACCTGTTAAATTATGAGTGTTATGCAGTTAACTATATAACCTGATTTAATGTCAAATAAAATTGGTTGAATAAACGACATGTGCATTTTTTTAGTAATACCAATATATGTGTGAAGTTGTGCCACTGTATAAAAACGAATCAACTGACATTATTTCCAGTTCATTAGTCTTGTGTGTGCTATTTCCCCTGCTTGATCTTGACTCTTCCCACTAGGCACTGATCAGGTGAGCTGTCCCCTCCAGGTGTAAGGGGGCGTGGCCTGGGGAACAAAGGGGAAGGGAATTGTTTTGGAGGGAGTTTTGAGACCGAGAGGGAAGCCTGACAGTGAATTAAGAAGAGTAGAGCTCTTTAGTATGTATGGTGTGAACTCTGTACAAGTGAGCTCTGAGGACAATGAGGACTGATCAGCAAACCCTCCTCTCGGCTGCTGGTGAGTTCCATTTATTTATTGATTTATTTTGCAATGCTCCGTTTTCCTGCTGGCCTAACCACTAATTAATGATATAAGAAAAAAGTGTGTCAGGTCACTGATCACGTTAATGAAGTGTGCTAGAAGACAGTACCTGTTGAAACCACAAGATGGAGACATGCAACAGGCTCAATACTTGAGTAAGAGTAGAAGTACCAGAGTGCACGAGTACTCGGTTACAAGTAAAAATCCTGCAATCAAGATGTTACTCGAGTAAAAGCACGAAAGTATTAGCATTCAAATATACTTAAAGTACTAACTATGCAGATTGGCCCATTTCAGAATAATATATATGATCTGTTCTGAGTATAATGATTGATGCATTAAACTAAAGTGTTAAAACAGAAGACTCTGCTTAGGGATTCAGAGTGTAGATTAATTTACAACAGCTGAACATGTAAAAACACATTTTTCAGAATTGATTGGAAAATAAAAGTTAGAAAGTAAGCAGTGGTTGACAAAGGACTCTGATCTCTTATTAATAAAGCAGCCTATTTGCCACAAAATAAGGGCCAGTGTGTGTGGTAATTATGGGATCTATGAGCAGAAATGGAATAAAATATTCATAACCATGCGATAAACACCTGAAACTGAGAACGTTTTTCCATTTGCAGCGACACAAGTGGCCGCTGGTGTCAGCTTGCCGTCTGTCTTTGTCTGCAGACATAGCAGCTCGGCAGGAGAGACATTCTGACGAGTGCAAGGCAGCTGAGAATGAGCCTCTCAACACAGATTGTTATGTTCCACCCTGATAGAAGAACAATGGCCTCAAGGTTAGAGCCCTTATTATACATCCATGGTTAGAGCACGCCTCTCCGAACACGAGGTGCGGATCAGTGAAAGTTAAGAGAGCAGGGCGAGATAGGTCGTCCTACTTTCTCCAGTCACATAGGAAACCATTAACACCATGTAGAGGGGCTGCACACTTTCCCCAAAAGCATTTGACAGAACACTTGACCTTTACTCGCTGAAGCAATAAATCCAGGACCCCAGCACAGCACTGAGCTCAGGACCTTGTTATTTACATTGCGAGTGCTTGTTAGAATTCAGAAGCAGGCTCGAAATGCCATGTGGGAGTTGAATGAATGCAGTCTCTCTTTTTCCTACTACATGAGCAAGTAAAACAAATGTACTACTAGTTTTGGATGCCAGACTGTATACGTACATGCATGGATCGCCACTAAATGTTGGCTAACTTTTGTGTTTAATCATCATTTTAAATGTTTGAAAGTTCACCACTACAATATTGAACACAATATGGTACGCATGATACTTGATAACCTGAGAATTGCAGTTTAGATGTTATGATTGTGCAAACTTAATCACCATTAACTTGATCGGTTTCTCCACCAATATCTTTTTAGGAACCCATTGGAGACAAACAGACAACCCGAACCTAAATCTCCCAACTTCCCAACATCCCTCTCTTCTCGTCCAGTTTCAACCATCATATATCACTCCTCAGATTGTCCAATAAACGATTAAATCAATCACACAAGGTGTTGCTTTCCAATGAATGAGTATGTGGGAATCAGTTACAAAGACTGTCAGAAGAACATGCCAGAGGCCAGCTCTTCTAGCAGCCGAGGACTGACGGGGTTAGTTTGGTGAAAGCTAATTAGATTCCTCAGGGTTAGGGTCTGCGGTGTGGGGCATCAAGTGTTTAGTTCTTGAGGAGTTAGATGTCATCTCCAATATCTGACGGCTTAACACCTCGCATGGTGCACAAATAGCTGGTTTGATCCTTGTGTTTACTCTGACCACTTGTGAATTCAGATGATTTACAAGTTGAGTTTATGCTGTCCCCTCTCTGCTCCCAAATGGCTGGACATTAAATTAAATTGAAAGAAGATAGCTGCACATGATGTTGGTTGTCAAAAGAGAGCAGTAGATTGGGTTTGGCACCGAACCAATACATTTTTTTATTCACTTTTAAGCATTTTAATTGGTAAAGAAAATCCACTTTATTTTATTTAATAGCACACACTCACAATAGTAATGTCATTGCTGTGTGGCAAAGGTCAGCGCTTTCACCAGAGCTCAGTAGATGTAATCCCAAAACAATTTCACAGGTTTATCTTTGTCCTCAAGGGTAAATAGAAGGAAACAATGTCAGGCCAACAAGGAGTATAGAGTTTCAGTTTGAGGTAGCAGCTAGTGCCAACGTAGGGTGACCTGATCCCAGAACAGCTGCAACTGTCATTATGTTCTCACTGAACCTTTATTGTTAAGAAATATTAAAGAACTTAAGAAATATTAAAGAACGTACTATTTTTTCCAAAAAGGTCATCTGATTGATACAAAGGCCATTATTGTTTTTGTGTTTGGCAGATTACTGAACACATCTTTTCTTTTGGTCAATATAGACATAACTGACCACCCCCTAAAGAGGTGACTATATATTGAAGATGCAGAGCTGTTTATAAAAGCTGTTTTATATCTGTTATGCCGGAGGTGTGTAAGTGTGAGTCTAAAAGTTTGATACAAAGTGACTCACGGGGCCTTTGCGATCTGCCTCAGTGTGCCAAAGAAGTTTGTAATGGCTTAGTTAATGTCATGTGGTTATCTCTGAGCTCAAGGACAGAAGGAGAGAATGTGCCATAAACACCTCTCAGTATGGGTTGTACTTAAGTGTTTTCACTTTCAGTCTTAAAGAGCATCTAAATTGAAGAAAAATATCAGCAATTTACTGCTCTTGCACTTATACAGTTTGTTGTATTTTGAGAGGCTTTAAACACTTTCTGAAAATGTCTCTTTTAGAGTTTGGTTGTACAAAGTCCCACGCTCTTATGTTTTTCTGAATACATGGCTTCAAAGTAAACTATAGTCCAATTATTGACATCATGATTGCTACGTCAACTTTGTATACAGCTTTTGATCTATGCTTGCCAGTCTTTATATTAAGTTATTTGCTTTTGAACATGTAGCACTTGAGGTATCAATCTGCCCGTTTAAACTCTCAGGATAAAAGCAACAACATTTTCCTCAAAATGTGGAGCCTTTTAACTCTTTGAACACGGGCCTTTTTCTTAATTGCCCAATCCGAGATAATTCCATTCGATCCAAACTCTATAAATCATAGACTTCTAATCACATAGACGATTACACTACAAAACAATACAAAACCCCCCTATGTCACATACAGTATGTCTGTTAACCACCTGCCATATCTTTCTAATTCCCATTTTGACAAACAGACCGGGGCCCCTGCTCATGAAGCCGTGTTGACAGCAGAAGGACAGGCAGCTGGGAATGACAGCCAACGTGTCCCTTGACGTTCTGAGGGGTGGTCCGCCGGTTGCAGACAAGCAACTGTCAACACCTCCAAGTCTGAAGTTGAAAGTGTTAATCTGTTTAAGACAAAGTGGCCCCAGTGCTTCTTCAGGAGGTCTTCAGGTGGTCCACTCAATAAAAGTCATTGAAGGATCTGCTCGGTTAATGGAACACTTGTTAGAAGCACTTTGTCATTGATAACGTGATAAGGTGTGTGTGGTGGGGAGGTGGTAAGTGTACTGTATGACCCTTATATTTAAATACAGTATGGTCACTGAAACCTTTGAGAGCAGGCAGCTTTCATACCCGATCTTTTATTAAAGATGAAGGAAGGTCAGCTGAGGTCCACTGGGAGGCCAAAAAGTCAACCACCGGGAGAAGTAATGCAAGAGAAAATTTCACAAGTTTATCTTTATCCTCCAGGATAATAGAAGACAGACAATGGCACAGTCTGTAGACACAGACAATGCCTATTGTAATGCTCCTTTGTTCTTTAATATACATAAGAAAAGGTTTGGTGAAGCTATTATATTTTCATCATTATATCCAAGATATATTTCCCTTGAGGAGCAAACAGGAATAGATCCACATACATATTTCTGGCAAACAAGTGGTTTAATATATGAATATGTTTTGTAATTTACTGGCTTTTCAGTCACTTCAAGGAGAGAACTGAAATAGATGCTGATCTAAAATCCACTTGCCAGTTATTTTTTTCCACACCTTTATCTCCAAATACAGAGCTTTCTTTTTTAATTAGAGCCCCTTGTTTTACTGCTCGTCCCTCATTGGTTGGCTGGGTGTTGATGCTCTGCCTCCAGGATGAATATAAAGAGGAGATCAGAAAGAGGGCTAAGCTCGGGGAACTTGGAAACTGCAGGTAAGTACCCAGACAAGTAATGACTAAACTATGTCACATATTGAACATACTATGTTCATCTTTCTGTTGTTACTTTCCAGAGACGCATCAATTCAATCAAGGCGAAAAGGAAACAGGTAAACAATCAATGTTGTTAGCTTTTCAAAAATAAAATCAATATAGGAAAATGTATAGTCTCTAAACCCTCTCTGAATTATGCTAACTTGAAAAAATAAATCAATAAAAACCTAGCATACCACTACCATATTCTTGATTATCATCGTTTATAGTAATTGCAAATAGTATTTTCTTATTTTTGGATTTTTTACGAAAATGCCTGTGATGTTCTGTACAATAATATAGAAATGCATTCAATCACCAACCCTCACAACGCATTTCCTTATAAGTTATACACAGTTTGTATATTATGTTTAACTGCTACAACAGGGACCAAAATAAACAATGTTTTTGG